ACTTTTGATGTCCCCCCCATACAAAGCTTTTTTTTTTTTTTTTTGGCTTGCAGTTGTTTGTAGCAGACTGCCCTAATTGTTGAATATCAGATTTAAATGTGATTGTTTTTTTAAATTTAGGAGGGCAGGTATTGTGGCAGGCCCAACGAATCTCCCAGAACCCTCATTCACGTTTCAATCAGTTCTGCACAGAGGGGGGCAAACCACCTGCAAAGCCCCTCATAAACACTAAAAATAATTTTAAAAAATGGTCATGTCACCTCCATCTCACAGGCCAGGCACTCGGTCAAAACCATGCAAAGAGTGGAGATGATCCTGCTGAATGACATCACCTCACCCCTAAATATCATGCAATAAGGTGATATCATTTTAAAATGGTCATTGGTTTCTGACAGAACTGTAAGTCCGTTGTCTGTGTGTGTTGGTGCTTTGCCACGGAGCTTAATTGCTCCTTGCATAGAGAGTGTGCAAATTAACATGTTTCCTACTTTGTAAAGGTTAGACAACTATTGAAGACCGTATTGTTTGGCATTCACAAACTTGCCACCCACTTCTTGGTGTTCCTGTGCCTCGGGTAGGCCAGCGGCGGAGAGGCGTGACCCATTTAAAAGGTTGTTTACTTGTATCAGAGAAAGGGCTAAGATGCTCCTCGGTGAACTCTTGTCTACAATTCAATTACCCTTGGGGCGCTTCAGCAGCTCGTTATGAAATGCTGTTTTTCAATTAGCAGTTTTATGCACTGTACAGTAACAACATTCGACTTTTGATGTCGCCCCCATACAAAGCTTTTTTTTTTTTTTTTGGCTTGCAGTTGTTTGTAGCAGACTGCCCTAATTGTTGAATATCAGATTTAAATGTGATTGTTTTTTTTAATTTAGGAGGGCAGGTATTGTGTTAGAAATCAGGACATCGGGTGGGGATTTCACACGCTGCAGTGCACCCCCTCCTCCTAGACTCTTTTGCCACTGACCCTGTCTGGCAGAATATTGCTTACCTGAATTTGCAGTTTTTGGTGAAAACAGTTTGGCTCCATATTCTTTAAGACAGACTTTTTATTGCTCTTCCTGTTATTTTCAGACTAGACAAGCTTAAAAGAGGAAATGGCGAGTCTTTTTCCCTCCCTTATTTCCTATTTTTAAAGGGCATTGTGTGAAATGGTCAACGGAAGTGGGTTGGTTGTGGTAAAGCTAGAAATGTATTTCTTTTCTTCCTTGTTGTGTGATGAAAAGGGCCTTGGACCAATAAACCGTATTGTAATGCTCACAAGTGAGGCACTGAGCATGCAACTGACAGAATACGGTTGCTGTGCTATGAACAGTCCACAGTTGTCTTAGTTTCTAGAGGAGTGTAGATTGACTTTGTTCTCAAGCGTGAGCCGAATCAAGATAATCGGGTGTTTTCTCATTAAAATCGTACAAAATGTGTAACCTTAGTTCAGGATTGTTTTGTTACAGAATCAAATAGCCGAGTTTTATAGAGGGCATGTAAAAATTTTTGCAGCTTATCCTTTTGCTACTTTATCATTTATTTTGTGTGTGTGAGACCACAAACCCAGTCTTAAGTCACTGGGGTATATTTGTAGCAATAGCCAAAAATACATTGTATGGGTCAATTATTGATTTTTCTTTTATGCCAAGAATCATTAGGATATTAAGTAAAGATCATGTTCCATGAAGATATGTAAATTTCCTAATTTAAATATATTAATTTTTGATTAGTAATATGCATTGCTAAGAACTTAATTTTAAACAACTTTTAAAGGCGATTTTCTCAATGTTTAGATTTTTCTCAGATTCCAGATGTTCAAATAGTTGTATCTCGGACAAATATTTTCCTATCCTAACAAACCATACATGAATGGAAAGCTTATTTATTCGGCTTTCAGATGTAGAAATGTCAATTTGTAAAAATTGACCCTTATGGCTGGTTTTGGTGTGTGTGTGTTATATGAATTATAATGGTATATATTAAACTAATATAATTAAAATGGTATTAATATATAATCTTTAATGTGCAAATTAGATAAATTATCTATTAAATTAATAGTATATTAAATCATCATTCATAATTTTGTGTATAATAAACAATATAATTAATTCTACATTTTACATTAATAGTAATATGCAAGATCATGGCTCATAACAACATTTTTACGTTGTGTTACGGGAAAAGGTAGTGAAATTGATTGATTTAACTTTGTGCCTCGTTTTTATCTCCCTTTAATCTTCACAGGTGAGCTTAATGAGCAGCTGCTTTGACTTGGTTTCCCAGCAACCACTGGCATAACAGCGGCCTTGGCCTCCTTATTGGCGGAGAGGCATAGGTGAAGGAGTGGACCCTGACTGCCTTTCTGTTATTTACTTTTTGTAACGAGAGGGGGAATAAGGTGCTCAGAAGACCACCCAGAGCATGGGGCAGAAGGTTCCGGGAGGCATAAAGACTGTGGACATGCGGGACCCGGCGTTTCGGCCTCTCAAACTAGAACTGCAGGCCCTGGACTACACTAAGCCCTCCCGCCTGGATATGTTGTTGGACATGCCATCAGCCTCACAGGAAGTCCAAGTTCAGCACTCGTGGAACAACGATGACCGGTCGTTAAACATCTTTGTTAAAGAAGAAAATAAACTTATATTTCACCGGCACCCTGTTGCGCAGAGTACAGATGCTATCCGGGGCCAAGTGGGATACACACGGGGACTACATGTGTGGGAGATCAGCTGGGCCATGCGCCAGCGGGGCACCCATGCAGTTGTTGGCGTGGCGACAGGTGAAGCCCCGCTGCATTCTGTAGGATACACTGCACTTGTAGGAAACGATAGTGAGTCCTGGGGCTGGGACCTGGGACGTAACAAACTCCATCACGATGGCAAGAACCAGCCCAGTAGGACGTATCCAGCTTTTCTTGAGCCTGATGAAACCTTTATCGTCCCAGACTCCTTTTTGGTGGTCCTGGACATGGATGAGGGGACTTTAAGTTTTATCGTTGACGGACAATATTTAGGGGTTGCTTTCAGAGGACTCAAAGGAAAGAAGCTATACCCTGTAGTGAGTGCTGTGTGGGGACACTGTGAAATCCGAATCCGGTACATCAATGGACTTGATCGTAAGTATCATCCTTTCTGCTTGGTTGAATTTGCCTAGGTTATCTGTGTCTGTTTTTACATGGCTCCTCCAGTCGTCTCTTGAATAACAAGGTTGGCGCTGTCATTTGTTGTACGTTGAAGGTGGCTGGAGCTAGTGTGTCTTTGGAAGGCTTTGTCTCTCATCCATTAATTATTTGAAACCAGCTCCGTTTACCTGATAAAGACCATGACATTCATTATCTTGCACACGTCCTGGAAGCTAATCATTAAACTGGCTGCTTTGCTCTGCTCTGTCCTTATTACGTTTTCATCAGATTCCACTACCTGTGGAACATTTAAGAACAGACTTTCTTGCCATTTTATAAATAAGTAGTTTCATCCATTATTCTAGAGCAGCAAGCTTTTGTTAAACGGAAAAGTAGTGATTGGCCAGGCCAATTATTTGAGATTGTGAGAACTATGCCCGTTTAACAGAAGTATGTTATTTCACTGAGTCTTTCAAATCTCTTGTTATGCCAGTCTTTTCGATGACTGAAACGTATTTTTTGTTTTATTTTAATTGCTAAAATGTTAAAAAAAAAGCATCTATTATATAATATCCATTTCCTATGTCGCCAATAATTAGAGATGCACTGAAATTTTGGCTGCTGAAAAGTTCACCGCTCAGGCTTCACTTTCACGTGGTGTGACGCTCTGTGTATTATCCCGCTCTATGCGTGTGCGCTCCGTTCAGTCGCTCCACTCGTATACCGTTCATGCTCATGTCCACTCAAAAATCGAGCTGTCAGGAAACATCTATGTAGTACAGTATTGTTTCTGTCTGCAATAGCCCTACTGTGTTGTAACATGGTGTGGTATATGGGCAACTCTGGTAACGCTGCCCTCTCATTCATTGACCTGCTAACTGCTACGTTATGCTCGCGTGTCCTCCGTAATTGGTAAAAAAAAAGTTAAATATCTTAACCCTACCTGAAAAACTAAAGTAATATTTAATTCGAAGGCCTGTTGTTTGTGCTATTCATTTCTTTGTTATTTTATTACTGACTGCTTGTCTTTTTAATTTTTTTTAATTCAATTCAAAGTTTGAAATCAAGCCATCTTGTGCTACTGCACCAAAATTACCCCACTGTAAAATAAAGAGTGAGCAAAAATTTGTGAGATGGCTAGTTATAATGGTAATTAAATAATGTTTGTATGTATGTATGTATGTATAAAAGCCTACATTAAAATCTGTCATATAAATTTGTCTCCATTAGAAATTAGCCTACTGATTGCCACCATTGATGGACAAATTTTTTTTAATAATATTAAAAATAGCTGTATGACATTTTATATTCTGCAGTTCTTCCCTGTTGTACCGAATATCTATACTTTTCAAATTATATCGAAGTTAGAAATTCAAATATTGTGACAATTTAATTTTGTAGGGTGCCACAAGTTTGTTAATTTCCAAAGGGTGCCGTGTTGGGAAGGTTGGGAAACCCTGTTCTAGACCATATTAATTCTCTTTGACATTAGTATATTGAAGTCCAAGCCAATTCTTTAAGTTTTGGGAACGTGTCTTTATCACACCTAATATTTTACTTGCACTGTAAAAAATTTTACACGTATAGCTGCCTTTTTATATTTTAGGAATAGGGGTCCTTTGCATGAAAAAGTTGAACAAATCCCTTGCTCTGTATGGCTGATGCAGAAGCCAACACGGATAGTATGCACATCCCCCCCCAGTTTAATTTCTTGAGAGTAGTAAAGGTAAAGGCCAAAGGTTTATAGATATTACTCAGTCATGCAAATGAGAACTAGCTAGTGTGAAATGTCTTTCCTAACGTTGTGCATTTCTCAAGGTTACATAAATTTTTTTTTTGCTGTCTTTGCAAGTAGTTTCTGTGAATCTGACTCATTTCCGCAACCCAGCATGAGTCAGTTTTGGAGGACATTCTCGTGATGTTATCATTCTGTGGTCATATAATGAAAGGATGCAGGTGAGGGCCAGACTTACTCATGTCTGGGCTTCTCGGGGACAGCTGAAACCCACTTTAATCTCAGTGGAAACCGTCTCCGGGCCACTCATGATGCCCTGTCCAATGAAATGCATGTTTTATCACTTTGGTGTTTTGCATGCCACCAGGCGATGGAATGACTCTTAAATGTCTTTCCTGAGTGTGCAATGTTTAGCAACATTTAATGAAGGTCTGGGAAGTATTGCTGCAGCCTTAATGCATCAGTTCAGGACACAGGTGTTCCCATTTTTGGAGAATTCTCATCCCTTCTATGTGTGAGAGAGTAGCCAGAGTATTACTCAGCCTCTGACTCCAAGGCCTTGGCTTCCTTTTGTATCTGTCTTGTGTCAGTACCTTTAATGCATTCCTCATTGCGGTCAACAGAGGTATAATTGTGCTGTTATTTATCCCTTACATCACTCTCTTTGGTTTCCCCAGTGTCTCGTTTGCAAAGTGTGCGTTTTATGAAGTAATCTCAACATCTGAGCAGGTGGTGCTGTGTGGAAACCATTCTGAAGTCCGAAGTACTTGGGGTTGTTATATGGCTGGACTAAAGGGGACCTGTG